TATCGTTTTTGGGACAAAAAGCAAAGGGGATATCGTTTTTGTCGTTGCTACGTTTTTTAGTCGACGCGTTTTTTGGGGTTTTTTTTAGGTTCAAGATTTAGAGTCAAGGGGACTTCGTTTGAAAATTTCCTGGTGCCAGCTCGTGCCGAGCCCTGGGCTGAAGTTGGAAGGTACAACTGGTCCATGTTGCTTCTACGGGACCCTCCAGAAAACGGGGTTTATGGGAACTTCGTGCGATTTTAAGCCCATACAGTGCTAGACAGGGTCCGACAAGCCTGCAAAGTGCAAAAATCTCGGCAACTAAATTTTGGTGAGACACTGCCTTTAAAAGAAAAAGCCTGCGCCCAAGCCACTACACTCCGTGTAATACTCGCTCACTCCCGTGGATGCAAGCCTCTTTAGACGGGTGCTTTAGTCTTGGAAAGGCTAACTTCGATGCACGCGTCTCACCCATGAAAAACCTCAAAAGTGGTTTTGAAGGATGAAATGTTTTGAGTGCTTCATTTCAAAAGCCACGAGTACTCCCACATAGGAAAAAAATAATGAAAATCGGGAAATTGCCGTCTTTGAGGGGGCCCAGGACCAAAAAAAAACTCCGTACAGAACGTCATCGGCTGCACAAACAAAATTAGGAATCTGAATCAGAGGTGCGATAGGGGGAGCCGGGTCCCCCAAAAGTGAAGGTGGTTTCAGCTACCACTGGCCGGCCAAAAGTGAAGGTGGTAGTGTCGGACACTCACCTCCCAAAAACGTCGACGGGGGGGGGGGGGGAGGGCGGGGGGAGGATAGAACGGACGAACGGAGCTATCTTTCTAGGTCTAACGTCGACCCAACGGCCCTCTTTAGGGCCACAGATACGATGAATATTAAAAATATCTATAAATTTTATTTATAAAAATTTAAAATAGACGTGTTTAGTAAATGGTGTATTTGGAAGTAGAAGTTTGTTGGACTGTACGGATTTTATTAAGCAAATTTTGTTATAACGTACAGCGAAGAAAGTAGATCGATCCAGGCAGTAACGGCCGAGAATCAGAATTTCGAATAAATAAATAGTGAAAAATCATGCAAAATTTCCACTGTTATAAATCTGTTGTTTGAAGATGTCAGCAGTTGCGACTTCATAGGTTTTGAAGAGTAGATGTTGCTCTATCAGCTAGTGAAGGAATCGGGTCGATTTAAGAGATAATCGTTGAAAACCAGAGTTCTAAAACTTTACGCCATTTTTGCGTGTTTTTTGACTGTTGAGAGTTAAACTCTTATAAATCTTGAATGTGGAAGTGTATGATGTTGCGACTTCATAGGTTTTATAGAGTAAGGTTTGCCTTATCAGAATATGTCTTGTCCGTTCCGATCCATTGAAACACCTCCGAGATCCAGAGTCATGAAAAAGCAGGTAAAAAAGAGCTTTTTGAACTTCAACAGCTCATAACTTCTTCAGAATTGCACGAATCATGTTGCGACTTCACAGGTTAGATTCTTCTCGTCAAGAGCTTTCAGATGATATATAATATGTGGGGGTTTCGCGCCTCTTACGGCATATGCCCGGGGGGGGGAGACTTTTTAGGCCAAAGTCTCCCCCGGCAGCCTCCAGCCAATACATTAAAATGGGCGAGGGGGAGACTTTGGCCTAAAAAGTCTCCCCCCCCCCCGGTCATAATTCGCAGGAGGCTCTAAACCCCCACATATTATATATCATCTGAAAGCCCTTGATGAGAGGAATCTAACCTATGAAGTCGCAACATCATACACTTCCACATTCAAGATTTATAAGAGTTTAACTCTCAACAGTCAAAAAACACGCAAAAATGGCGTAAAGTTTTAGAACTCTGGTTTTCAACGACTATCTCTTAAATCGACCCGATTCCTTCACTAGCTGATAGAGCAACATCTACTCTTCAAAACCTATGAAGTCGCAACTGCTGACATCTTCAAACAACAGATTTATAACAGTGGAAATTTCGCATGATTTTTCACTATTTAAATATTCAAAATTCTGGTTCTCCGCCGTTACTGCCTGGATCGACCTACTTCCTTCGCTATACGTTATAACATAATTTGCTTAATAAAATCCGTACAGTTTTGCTAAGCTTTACTTCCAAATACACCATTTACTAAAAACCTTTATTTTAAATATATATGCCGCCGTATACATAAATATATGCTTTCAATAATCTTTTTTGCGTTTGTTTTGCTTATTTTCCTTCTTTGTCGTCCAGCGAAAAATTTTTTATTCCAAAAGTGAAGGTGGTCACCCCGTACCAGCTCAAAAGTGAAGGTAGGGGGAGACTTGGCTCCCCCTATCGCACCTCTGATCTGAATCGATACGTTACTCAATGCCATCAAAAAATGGCGCATAGTTGTGAGCTACGGGCTTACGCTGTGATTTTTGCACGTTTTGTTGCCTAACGCTTGCCTCCCTTCAAGGTAATCTATTTAATTTTAACGGGACTCTAGCATAGCCTATTCCAATCATGTTTATCATTACTCGGGTTTGATATTCTATAAAATCCCCATCCCCAAGACGTCATTTGGAAAGACGTGTTGAAACATGAAAGAGTAAGCCGGCAAGTTTGTCAATTAGGGCCGTGTGGCACTGGCCCTTTGATGGTCATTTTGGATGCGATTTTCTCATAATAAACGGTTCCGGCAGTGGCTTATTTATGGGCCCTCTGAAAGAGTATGTAGACTTGCATCACTTCAAAATATGTGAGACAACATGCTTTCAAACGGATGCTTTCAAACTTGCGTGTTTTTTTACCTTTCGAGATTTTGTCCACTGCTTGGCAGTGGACATGCTTGTTGGCCTCGAATAAGATTTTTTTATCGGTCGAAAATCTGCAATCGAATGGAAACTGGTGTGCATATAATATAGCAAACTCACACTCCAAGACTGTAAATAAAAATGAGCTGTTGAGATCACAAAATGCGGCTAAAGCATTGTGTTCAAAAATTATTTCTTCAAATCATGGGATTCGCAAGTGTGCATATGTACCGGCACTTCTTGACTTTGATAAAGCTGCCAAGACAATTAATTATAGGTATATTTTTAGCGGCAATATCGAATACATTGCTAGCTATTAAGTTGTCTCATGAGTTTTTTCAATTTTGAATTTCTAAAGCAATAAGTAACACAGTTCTCAATTCTGATTGAGATGCAGGGTACCGTTCATAGAGCAAAGCAGCGAGCAGCAAGCTCTATAGATGGCTTGTAAGCATTCCACCAGCTTCAGTACATCACGAATTAGAAGCTGAAGTCTGAGAACCTTTGGATGCCCAAAAATTAAAATTTTTATAACCTTGTCCAAAAAAAACTTACCAGACTCCCCACTCACTCACACATATAAGCTCCATACAACGTGTTCATATGTGCCGTTGCTCAGCCCTTCTGTAGTACATCTGTGGTTTTTCAGCTTTCTGGAAGCACTAGTTTTTGAGGAATACCAATCTAGCTTTTTTGGCAAGGTATTAGGTCGGTCCGAAAGTTCTGTCGTTTCATTTTTGAAAATTTGTAACTCTGCGCTATCCCAACGGATTCGCACCTTTGTAATTTTGTTTGAATGCATAAGTCTTTCGCTTTCGAATACAGTCTTGATTAGCTTCTATCACTCACTAATTGCAGAGATAAAAATGAAAAAGTAAGACCAACTAAGTTTTGCTCATTATAATTTAGGTCGCCATAAATTTGAAACGCTACAGAAAAATCTGAAAAGTTCAGTATATACGTTTTTTGACCCACTCTTTATAACTGTGAAAAGACTGTGCTGTTTGAACGTTTCTGAGAGAAGTTATGAATTTCGGAAAAAGTGACAAATTAATTTTGGCGTTTTCTGAGTTAACTCAAAATTCAGAACTTCTCTCAGAGGCGTTTAAACAGCACAGTCTTTTCACAGTTATAAAGAGTGGGTCAAAAAACTTATATACTGGACTTTTCAGATTTTTCTGTAGCGTTTCAAATTTATGGCGACCTAACTTAAAAGAGCAAAACTTAGTTGGTCTTACTTTTTCAATTTTATCTCTGCAGTCAGTGTGTAATAGAAGCTAATTTAGACTTTGTTCGAAAGCGAAAAACTTATGCTTCTAAATAAAATTACAATGGTGCAAATCCGTTGGGACAGCGCAGAGTTACAAATTTTCAAAAATGAAACGACAGAACTTTCGGACCGACCTAATATTTTATGTTGAAATAAATTTCTCGAAAACTAGAGCTTATCGAAAGCTGGAAATCTGTGGCTGTACTTCTAAAGCCCTGTAGTATAACCTCGAGTCATTTGTAACATAATGTGTGAGACTGCACACTACACGCTATTAGCGACGGCACCCATACTTGTAACTTCCCAGTAAGACAATTTTTAGTCCAATAAAGTGTAAAAATGTGTTCTACTAACTAGCATGTAACCAGTAAAAACAAGAGAAACAAGGAAAGAAGGAGAAATCACAGGAAATGAGCATGTTCTAGTTTTGCAGTTCGTCAATTAGCGTGTAAAATGTGCACTAGGCATATTAATTTACAAATGACTCGACGATACATTTGTATGAGTATGGCGCAGCAACGTTTTTTTTGAAAGCTTGTAAATTTTGGTTTTCTCGGTTTCTAGCCAGCACAGAAATAAACGCAGCAACGGCACATATGAAGATCTTGTGTGGAGTGTATATACGCGAGCTAGTTTGGGATCTAGTAAGTTTCCTTCGGGCAAAGTTATAGAAGAATTTCACACCCAAAAGTTCGCAAATTTCGGCTTCTAACTCGTGATGTACTAAACCTCGTGCGAACGCTTATAAGCCATCTTATAGAGTATGCTTTGCTCTATCGAACGGTACCCTGCATCTCAATCAGAAAAAAAGGGTTTGTGACTTATTGCGGTAAAAATTAAAATTGAAAAAACTTGTGAGACAACCTAATATATCGAGTAGATCGTAAACGAGTATTGATATTCGACTTACGTTCCCTCTGCAATAAAACTTTTGCAATTAACTACTCTCTATTTCAGGTACCAGGGATGTCCGATTGTAAAAGCCTTACCCCCATACTTTACTGCCCTCTTATTACCGTGAGTTGCTTGCATTCCTGCAGTGGCCGAATAATCACGACTATTTTAGTTTCTCGCGGCTCCCATCCTTGCAGAGAAGATGAATCCAGTTCCAAGGCGTTGTGACTCTCCCATCAAGTTTGCTGGAGATTTTCCAAAAGAGTGGATCAACTATTTTGCTGACGAAATTATGATTATGTGTAACCAGTCGACCAAACCTGTTAGTTCATTTTTTACACTCCTTATCAGTTTCATAACAAATATGGAAAACCCATAACTTGAAGTTCATCTTTGATACAATATTCGTATGAAATCAGAATTCATCAGACTCATCCTGTTGGGTAACATTTTTTATATCAGTCGTTCAAGGAATACAATTGCTACTTGCAAGCAGAGGCGGATGAATACTTGAAGAGAATAGGAAAAGGTTTCGGTATCCAGTATAATATGAAAACTCTCGTAACGTGAGTCGTGGTGTAATTTGCTATATTTTTTGCACGCTAATGCAGACCTATTTAGCAAGAAATGGTCGCCTCGGGAAGGACAGCAAATAGCAAAGAAAGCTATTAACCATTGGGGCAAAGGGATCTGCAATGTAAGTTTTGGTGGTATGGAAAATATGAAAAGTAGAGCTTTTTAGCTGCTTGAATTTTCCTGGTTGTATTATAGTTCGTGGTATTCTGGCTGTACTGCTATGTGTAACTCATGTACAATCAAAACTTGTAGAATCTAATTTCATTAACTGCCTTAGATCGCGGCAGTTAATCAAATTAGATTCTACAAGTTTGGCTCTCGTTTTCATTTGAACTTCAAAACTCTGTTAGTGCTTTTTTGACACATAATTTGGTCTCCTTAGCTGGTTTAAGCAGGTACTTTTTGAAATGGTAGACGTACATAATTTGAAAATCTTTTGTGCTATTTTGGCTTAGACTAATTAAAAAGGAATTTTCATGAATAAGGGCTACGTCTTGAAAGGCTGTCAAACAAGAGAGGCACGTCGCTCCTGTTTCAATCAGCAGAATGTTTTTGGAAAATTTAGACACTATCAGCGTTTTTTTTTTGAATGCGAACAAACAAACCCACAATAACATAAGGGTGTCCCAAGAAGGTGCACATTGTTTGATCGCTGATATTTCTCTTTTTTCAGTGTGTATCCCCGGTCTTCGAGTATGCTTTTGTAGGATAGTATGAAGCAGATGCTCTGGTATTACTAGGTTTACGGAAGGAACTTCGAAGAGGGTTTTGAGCCGTTGAGGCACTTTTTCCTCCAAAGGCAAATCAATCAAAGTAAAGTCTTATACCAGGCTAGTAAGAGACAAATGCTGACTTCATACATAAAGATCTACTATACTGTTTCTTTCACATTATATCAGATATACCGTAATATTATAGTAATTTTCCAAATATTTCTGAAAATGTGGTTACACCGCCAAAACTTCCAAGTAGTTGTGTACCAAAATCAGTACCCCCGTGGAAACCCTGATACATAACCTTTCAATTTTTTTAAATGTGCTATTTGAACTTTACAATGGCACGTACGCTGGAAGTTTTTATCATATTACTACAGTAATGAAGAAGTACAGTATAAAGCCAGCTCCACTGCTACCTGCGAAAGGCTTGATGTGAAAAGAGAAATCAGGACAAACAATGTGCACATTTTTTTGTTTTACATTTACACCCCTGTATCAGGTTGGCGCGAAAGTTTTTGCGTGATCAAAATTTAATAACCTCGAAACCTGAACCTAAATTTGTATTTTTGCATGTAAAGAATAAAAGAAGTTTTGCGTTTACAGTAGTTATTTGAGCGCACCCTTCGTTCGCTAGCCTTGGAAAACAAAATTTTGAAAGGTCACTTCAAATGCGATTCAAAGTTCACTTTCAAACAGGTTCCAGAAAGTCGCATGCTGATCCATAGAGCTTTGTCAAAGTTTCTTACGTCAGAGGTCCATACACAATTGTAATTATACAGAGTTTAGCTTCGCATTCATGAAAATGTCACTTTAGAGAAAAAAACCCTAATTACTGCGTTTTCTTCGCAGTAGTACATTTAAGACCAGACATTCAATTTGATGCTTATCTATGACAATGCGACGTGTTTCCGGATGTAAACTATTTATTTTGCAGGAAAATGTACTAACTACAGGGTTTTTTTTTGTGAGCATTTCTCGTTTTTTTTTTATTTTGTCACTATGCAAGATTAAAGTCTGCGACAGTGATGTTTGAAGTGCTACGTTTGAAAGCTTTTAGCAACTCTTTCATGTATGTGCGCAGAACACGCACAATTTTTTCAGTGATTTTTACATCAATTCCTTCAATCTCTTTCTTTCAAGATAGTGAAAAAAATAACGGATTTCGGATGCTCAACGTTAGCTTACATTGGTTACGGAACGACAACGATGCGTCTTCTCTGTGAATTCGACCAGCCGACATACGTGATAAACACCACACTGGCATATTTCTGCGAAGGTCACTATTAGTTGCCGTTTGTCTGGAAAAAAGCGGCGTGTGTCTCAATAGCTAAGTGTTTTCAAGCTAAAAATACCACCTTTTTTTTTCTTGTGATATTCAGTTGGTACAGCGGAAAAAATGTATTTTCTGGAAAAAGCAGACAGACAAAATCATCCATCAACAAATAAGCGAGAATCAGAGAGATAAACTTGAAGCTACGATCTTCTAGCAATTACCTACTTTAGGGAATCAAGATTAGATCAAATCATTTGCTTTTAAAAGACTGGTGTGGGAATCATAGACAGCGATGTTAGTGAAGAGCATTGTTGTGATTGTCAGAAAATCCTTATTGGCTGTGTGTCTACTCTCGTAGTTGACAAATACTTTGAAATTCCTTCTGTTCAATAATGTCGCAAGTGATGAAACAGACATACTGCACGTTTCATCCACGAATCGTCTTCGTATGACGAAAGCAATCGACTTCTCTAGCTGTGCCACTCGCGGCGAAAACTGACAACGTCAAAAGGGCCATCAAGTTTTGTGGAAATGCCAAAAATTCATCATTCTTGCCGTGCCATTTCCTCGGGAACATCATGATTTTTCATAGTTCAGCACAAACTTCGCTCAATTACAGAAGAAGTGGTAATTTTTGTGTTGTTGACTTTGCCTTGATTTATTGCCAAGTTTAGATTCTCGCAGTGGCGGTCCCAGGATTTCGGACCGGGGAGGGGGGCGCGAAAAAATTTTTTTTACATTTGAAAAAAACCCCCAACGGTCCAGTCGTTTGCACATTTTTATAATCCATATAGGTAAGTTTCAAAAATTTCGCGACCCATTCACCCACCCCCCCCCCCCCCCGCCCCCCTCTCGGACCGCCACTGGATTCTCGGTATGGACCTGCTCAAAATTCGCAAAACTCGGATAATTGCCTTCTTCATTCTTGAATCTTCAAACTGTAATAAACATTCAAAAAGCTTTTGAAAACATGATTTGTTCTGTTGCTGTCTACTCCAATGCAATGGCTGGCTTTAGCAGTACTAAGGGGATTTGAGCCAACCAAGAACTAAGATAATTTTTCCTTTATTTTACCGTAAAAGCTGTGAGCGTTGGAGCTAAGTAGGGAATGGTCAGAACTTAACCCAGCCATTCCAAACAAGTTGTATATCACCACACTCGCCTTAAAACACTGATTCCAAAAATATGTTCATTTATCTGTCAAGCGACTGTTGGAGGAAGCTATGAGCGTTTGAAGGTGGGATTCGTACTACTGTATAGCACATATTCCACAAAAAAAGTTTTGAAAACATTTACTTGGGTTTTTAGTGGATGTGCGTCTTTGTCGTTATTGAGATAACTAGCTTGCTTACCCGGCTCCGCCCGGCCCTGTCAAAACACTATGTCAAAGAACACTATCCCTATTCCTGTACGAACCTTCCCCTGTGCCCACGCCTACATGCCAAATCACTATTCCCGCTGTTCTAGTAATCAGCATGCTCGATTACCCCCCTGTGCCAAATCCCAGCCTCGTAGCTCAAACTTTGCAAAAAAATCGATAAAATCGATAAAAGTAATGCACGATTTCAAAAACTAATATTGTATTCGTAATCAGCATGCTTGATTACCCGCCTATGCCAACTCTCAGCCCCGTAGGTGAACTCTGCAAAAAATCGATAAAAATCGATAAAATCGATATCGATCGATGACGAAAAGTAGCCTATGACACCCGCCGGGGCCCGAAGTGTATGTGTGCCAAGTTTGGTCCGGATCGGTTCAGAAATGGAATTTTCTATTCGGAACATAGGTACACACAGACATATACAATACCGATCATAATTCGTCAAAAAAGTCGCCGGAGTGCGGCGCACTTCACCACACTCCGCCGCACTCCGGCGCACTGCGCCACACTTCACCACACTCCGCCGCACTCCGGCGCACTGCGCCACACTTCGCCACACTCCGACGCACTCTAGCGCACTCCGCCGCAGTCCGGCGACTTTTTTGACGAATTATGAGCGGTATTGTAGAGCAGTCTGTTATATACCCCTTGTTTTTCCACACTGGTATCGTTGCGCTCTTGTAACAATCGTTGGGCATCTTCTTGCATTCTACAATTCCGCTCACAGATTGTGCAAAACTTCCGTGAACATCGCAAAATTCCGAAAAAAACCGCGAACTTTCCGGAATTTCGCGAAACTCCTGAAAGTTCGCGAAGTTTCGCGAAATTCCAGGATTTTCGCGGAATTTTCGGAATTTTGCGATATTCAGGGAAATTTTGCACATTCTGTAAGCGATATTGTACTCGACGTGCTAACAACATCTCTTATATTGTTTTGCTGCTGGTGGCACATTGTAGGATAGAATATCTGCCAAATTACACGACCTTCGAATTTGAAAGACAATTCATGAGAAGGCGATTTTGTAACATCATAATCTGAAGAACAATTCAAATAAAGATCTGTGCTAAGCATGGTCCGATAGAGGTGTTCACAAAGTTTTCAACTCACAAAAATTTGCAGACAATTTCCGCAACAGGTAGGGGAAAAGTGCAGGCGAAGTTGCGATCTTGGTTGGTCCAGCTACTTCTATCTCACTTTAGCTTTACTGTAAGACTCTCTAGTGCAAAATAAATAGGATTTTCGTAAAGATCGGGACCAAAAACCACTATGAGTGAAGTTTACAGTCAATCCGAGAACTTCAATATTTTAACCAAATCTTACGCCGAGGCCAAGAGTGAGGAGCGAGAGGCCAAGAGCGCGCTATATCAGTGTGTATTGCTTCTAAGAAGCTGGAAAAAATATGGTGTGTATAGGTAAAAGAGAGGTGTCTAACATGATTTTTGGGGGAATTACGGAGCAACTTTGGGAGAGCCGATTTTACGGCCTGAGCATGCCTGTTGGGGGGCTAATAACTCTGCGAATATTACAGCTACGGGGCTGGGGTTTGTTTTATTCGACAGATCTCTGAAAATATGATTTTTAGAGAGAAGGTCGTAGAATAACAAATTTCCATTAAAAGTGCCTAATTGACAGCCGAACTTGGGAAATCTGTCAATAAGGGCGATTTCGGCGCCTTATATCTCTAAGAGTTGCAGGGCTGGGGTAATCTCATGTGGCCATTGACATGTAGTTTTGGTAGCTCTATTTTTCTAGGGGTAGCTCGTGCTCACAGCTCCAGCGCAAGAGGCGCTATATA